ATCAATTTCCTTGTATCATTGTATTTTTGAATGATAAAATAATAAAATAAAATAAAACATACATTTCAATGTTGGAATATTATGATGTGTAAATTTCATTGCCCAGTACAAAATCCCTTTGACGAAAAAACCAATATGCTGTCACACACAAGTTCATTATTTTTTAAAATTAATACACTACTCAAAATGCAAGGATTAACTCTTTAGACGATAATCTAATAGCTCTGCAATATATATGGGAAAATTGTTTATCCTTTTAAATGACACAACTTATATCATTTCACTCTTACAAAGAGATGAGACCCACACCTTTATTTTTTTTGTCCACTCTCTTCCTTTATTTATCTCTTTCTCTCACTTAAAATGATACAACTTTACATCCTTTAAATGGACACATATTTTTTCACACACACATATATATATATATATATATATATATATATATATGAGATTATATTTTCTTATGTAACAAGAGATATGTTATCTCATGTTGCATTCACAATTTTATGTGGGTCTCATTGCACGGAAAAAGAAAAGAAAAATTAAAGTGGAACTCATACCTTTTTGAGTGGGTAGGAGAGACTTATTGTCTCGTGTGACATGAGGTTAATATTTTCTTATTGTCTCATGTGACATGAGGTTAATATTTTCCTATATATATATATATATATATATATATATATATATATATAGACACACACACAAACACACTAAAGTTTCGTGTTTTAAATTTCAAAAAGTATGTATGATTTGGTTTATCGAAGGAGGATATATTACTATTTTATTTTACACGTTTATAATTCTATGTTCAACACAATAAAATGCATGGTTCACTAGAAGGGCGTGCATGCCTGTGTTCTTGTGTAGAAACTATAATTGAGTTTATAGTTGAGTACTATCCAGTATAGAGATTGGTAAATCAGAGAAACCATCAACCTACAAGGATAAGATACAAGGATATAATTTTTGTAAATGGTGGAAATAACTTAGAAATATAGGATCCTCTTTGATCCTTATAAAAAATATTGGACACAAAGCAAACAATTTTTTGAATCATTTTAATAGCAACAACAATACTGAACGTTGGCCGTGCTAGTTTATGGCTCGTCAGCAATAATGAAACTACCAATGGTAGTTGAGAAAATGCAGTCTGACATAATTCACAATAAAGTGAGCTAAGGAACACCCTAGAACCCAGAGAAAATGATGCATCCATTTGTTTTATATTGTCTTATATATATGGTTGCTATTATTCAGTAGATTTTTCATCCTTTTTTATTGAACCAATAATCATTGTATTAGAGTAGCATTAATTTGTTAGGATCCTGATTGTAACTATCACGGTTTGTTACCTTGTATATTAAAATAGATTAGCTTGATTTATGCTTTCTGTTCCTTAGTTTTAGCTGATTTCCTGATGTAAATAGATTAGCTTGATTTATGCTTTCTGTTCCTTAAGTTTAGCTGATTTCCTGATGTAACCAATTGTAAATCTTGGTCTATATAATAGACCCAATTTGATATATCATCAAGCTGCGAATGACAGCAACTTCTGTTATGGTATCAGAGCCTGGTTATTTTGTTACTCTTGGACATTCTCCTATTTCTTGGAAAACCAAGAAGCAAAACACAATATCCCGCTCCTCTGCTGAAGCTGAATACCGTGCCATGGCAGCTGCGACTTCTGAGCTTATTTGGTTAAAGTCTTTTCTCAGCTCTCTTGATATTCCTCATGCAGCCCCTATGCAACTGTTTTGTGACAGTCAGTCTGCTATTCATATTGCTTCTAATCCAGTGTTCCATGAGCGTACCAAGCATATCGAGTTAGATTGCCATTTTGTTCGGGACTATCTTCTCAGCAAGACTATTTCTACTCAACATATCCCCACTAGTTCTCAACCCGCAGATATTATGACCAAAGCACTTGGATCCAAACAATTCGATTTTTTGACTTCCAAGTTGGGCATCTCCTCCCTCCATGCTCCACCTTGAGGGGGAGTATTAGAGTAGCATTAATTTGTTAGGATCCTGATTGTAACTATCACGGTTTGTTACCTTGTATATTAAAATAGATTAGCTTGATTTATGCTTTCTGTTCCTTAGTTTTAGCTGATTTCCTGATGTAAATAGATTAGCTTGATTTATGCTTTCTGTTCCTTAAGTTTAGCTGATTTCCTGATGTAACCAATTGTAAATCTTGGTCTATATAATAGACCCAATTTGATATATCATCAAGCTGCGAATGACAGCAACTTCTGTTACATTGATTCAACGAACTTATTTTACTTAATCAGAGTTCTCCAATTCAAGTCATAGGAATGAAAAAATGATTTTAGAAGAGTCATTCCTAATAATGAGTCCGATAATAATACCGGATTACTTGGGTAAATAAATTAATTGGCGAATATATATAAAAATAAAAATAAAATGCCTGTCATTTCATGTGCAACCATAATCCTCATTTCACGGACTATTTTTCATAATACTTTGGTGTTAAAAAAAAATGGAACAGTGTGGGTGTGGACCTCTTTTTTTCCAAAATTGGTAGCATGTTTCTTACTTCAAAACCATCCTGCAAAGATGGCATAAATGTGGCCTTCTTAGGTGCAAAAAAACAAAGGTGTACGTTACAGCATAATAATCTCCTTGAATGCTATTGCTGGCACATCATTGCCCGGTCCTTCATACAAAGCCAAAAAGTTGAATTACCTGTCTCTTTTCATGATAGTGATTAGTGACTACTAGCACGATGTATTGCAGTGAGTGTTTGCCGTTTTGTGCTTTTAAATTTGCCCCACATGTATCCATGGGATCGAATGATTCAAACATATGGCAACTTGCACTATTCCCATCTCTTCCTTTGTTTCCTCGATACACTTTTTTACGGAGGAATGGATTATCTCTTCTGTTAAAATTTTATATGCTCTGTGAAATTTTTATGTCCCTCTCTTTTTTTATTAATGATAATTATATCTTAATTATTTAATGCATGTGTAGAAAAAAAATATAAAAGATTTTCATAACCAAATTATGTGAAATTTTAACGCGAAAGAATTTATTCTCTTCATACACCTTTCTCTTTTTCGGATAATTAAGGTGTACATGACAACTATTCTGTTTCCTGACACTGTTTCTGAAAAGAAACAATTTTTTTCTATTTCTATGCCTTGGAACAGTTTCTAAGAAAAAAAAATGTTTGATAACATATTTTATTTTTATTTCGAGAAAGAGAATTGTGTTTGATAACACAATAAATAATAGATAAAAAATCATTCTTATTAAGCATAAAAAAAATTTGGATCATCACTTTCCTTTTCATATGGAGTGGTGGTGGTGGTGGCGGCAATGGTAATGGTGATGGTTGTAGTAGTGGCGTTGTGGTGGTGATGGTGGTGGCCGTAGTAGTGGTGGCAATGGTGATGGCATGATAGCGGCGACGGTGATAGTGGTGACGGCGGCGGTGGTGGTGACGGTAGTGACTATGACAATGGTGGTGGTGATGGTGGCGGTGGTGGTGGTGATGATGGTGATGGTGATGGTGGCGGTGGTGATAGCAATGGTCGCAGCGATAGCGGCGACAGCGATGGCGGTAGTCGTGGTAGTGGTGGCAGTGGCTACGATGAAGGTGGTGGTGGTGGTGGTACGACAATGGTGGCGGTGGTCTTGTCAGGATGGTGTAGCGATGGTGATGATGGTAGTGGTGGAGAGTAATTGAGAGAGATAAGTGTTTCTCATTTTGTGCCCGAGAGCAGAAAAGCAAAAAAAAAAATTATTCTTTTTTCTGTTGCCCAGCACAAAAATTAAACCGGTTCATCCTGGGAACAAAAAAATAAATTGATTTTACCAAATGAGTTTTCTATCCATTTCTGTTCCCGGGAGCAGAAATTAAAAAAAAAAAAATTGATTCCGAAAAGGTTGTCCTGCCACCCTTAATGTCTCAGGTTTACCCCCAACCTCCCTTGTTTCTATCATTTTTTCTTTTTTCTTTTGCTGCGAAAGAATGCATAAGTACACAATCTTTAACATGATCTTATGAAAAATGGGGTAATGATAACATGATTTTAAAAAGAGTTTTATTAATTTCATGCAATAGGAAAGAAGCATTTTTATGTTATAGACACAATCATATGTAAAATTCACCCATTTATAAAATAAAATAAAAAAACATGAAAATTAATATATGTGTAAAAGAGAAAAATACTCTTTAACAACACATGAGAGTATATTTTTTTAAAAATAAACCTGAACGGGAAAATATACTCTCATGTTGTTGAAGGGTTTTTTTTCTCCTACACATACATTGATTTCCGTGTTGCTTTTTTTTTTTTTTTTAGTGGATAGGTTTCACATATAATTATTTTTATAGCACGAGATTAATAAAACCTATTGTTGAATTTGTTCAACCTATAAAACTAGAGGAGCTATGGACAGGTGAAAAACCACCTCTTTCTCAGTCTAAGCAAGGTAAGAAATGGCTTGTTCCTTTCGAAGTTTTTTTTTTTTTTGGTACATACCTTTCATAGCTTATATATATGGGATAGGATCCGTTTACAAACTTTTTTTGCAAATTATATTAAGTACGACCGGTCGTACACTGCATAATTAAAGTATGACCGGTCGTACTTAGTGTAGTTTGTAAACAAAAAAGTTTATAAATATAACCTGCCTATATATATATATATATATATATATATATATATTAAGACTTGTATGTATAATATTGGCTTTATGCCTATAGTATACTTGAATATTTTTATTTATTGTCTAATGTAAAACTTCAGAACACTGATAATTCTTTTTTTACTTTAATGCATGTAACATTTGTTAGGTAGTTTTTATTTAGCCTTCATATTGTTTTTCTTTTATCTTTCGGGACATATAATTAATATGATCCTTTTATGCTAATTTAAAATTTCTCCTAACTTGAAATCTAATAAATTTATGTTAAGTTTTTACTTAGAATATCATAATATTATCAATATATTTCTATTTATCACCGGTTCAATTACAATTCAACAACTACCAGAACAATGAACTGTGATGCAGTGCCTTCATCCGCTCAATGACCTGATTTTAAAAACATTAATTTAAGCTGATTAAGCTCCAAGAGAAGCCTCGGATAAGACCATAAAATATTCATTCTAGACTTAATACATTGCTGTTGAATGTTGATCATTTATGTAACAGCGTCCAAAATTCCAGTCCTAGAAAACTGTTGCACAGTGATTATAACTTATTCAATGAAGCCTAGAAACAGTGCTGTGGAATGCAGATATAAAGCCATTCAGGATTCTACTTGGCCTTCGCTTTTTAGTTTGTAATTGCTGAGAAATTCGGTTTGAGTAGCTTCATAATAAAAAGTCATTAACCATCGAGAGAAGCTAAGACTGAGGATATAATATGCAGAGATCCAGTGATGACAATAATACCCTTGTCATTCCCTCTTCTGATGAGAATATTATTAGCAGTTCTCAAACAACTCTTCAAAGACGACTCAGTAGCCAGTATGGTCTTACCATCACCCAAATTGCTTGCAGAGCTTACTGGCTGATCCTTTAATAATTCACTGTATTCTGCCATTCCATCGTGAATAATCCCAACACCAAGCTCTTCAGAAGCTTTAATCCAAGAATCTCTCAACAAAGAAGCTGGAGTTGTTCGAGTTACACCTCCAGCAATAGCAGCTTCAGTCAAAAGAACAGTCTCCACATGCAGCCCTTAACAAATGCAGTAGCATATTTAATTTAGACCCGTCATTACACACTACTTTAATAGGCTTAACTAGATATTGCATTTTAGAATATTATGTAAGAACCAAGATAAACAACTTGAAACAGCATCGATAACCAGCAATCAATTGGAAATGACATGCCAAAAAACCTCTAGGTTATTGGGTAAATCATTTTACCAATAATGGCATTATAAGCATGCACAAGAATTTAGAGGTCTGAAGGAATCAAACCAATTTGATATCTTATGCCCTTGTCCAATTAATAAACCTCAAGAGTCACATGGCGACAACACTGACCATTGTGCCAAGGCTCCCCTTCTATTTTAACATGATATTTTGATTAAATTATTATATCAAAATAGCAGACTATACCTGACAGAATCTCTCTAGCAAAACCCACATGGTCTTTGTCACTTGCCATTGCAACAACAAAAGTCAATCGAGCCTTGGGAAATGCCATCATTATTGTATTCATCAGTGCTTTGGCAGATTCTTTGGTGTGGGCTACAGCATACATCCACACAACTAATCAAAACTTTTGTTCTGATGTATTTGTGGCACCAAGCCAGAAAATTCTTAGCTCTTCCCTCAATACCGTTAAAAATTAGAGTCGAGCAAGACTACATGAAAAATTAAGGATGTGTCCAGTCTGGAATAGAAAATTATATAAATTTCGAGTCTTTTTTTCTCCAAAAAGTTCATGTGGTTTTTCTAGAAATTTTCCAGAACCAATTAAGCCCAACTTTTTTTAAAAATTCAAGTCACCAGTTAATCACATGGTAATAAAAAGAAAAGTCAAAATAGTCAACCTCCATCCAGTAATATTGTTGCTCCAGTAAGTCCTAATACCTCAGCTTCTTCAGATGTTAGAAATTGACTCCTTCCAAGGAGATATGTATGCTCTAAACCAGACCTAATAGATTCATCAGAAATTCTCCATCCTAATTATCCAATAAACAAGGAGAAAATGAAGGGGAAGTCACATCACCAAAAAGAAAAAAAATAAAGTTAATATAAATCAATGCAAAGTCTTTGATTTGATTTGTCATGGTCGTAATGAGAAAGAGAATGGACCAAAGGGAAAAACTATAAAACAACTACATTAGAGCAGTAAAAAAAAAAAATTGATGTTATGTCTGCGCAAACTCGCAAGATGCAATATACCACATAACCCACTCAAGTATTCATTCGAAGGTTTGGCAGCGATGAAGGACGTTTAACTTTCACAGAAACCTTTACTAGAAGTAATCCACAAATCTGAACCTCAAGTAACTTCTGAACTTGAATAGGAATTCAATTCAACTAAGTATAGAAAAGGCACACATTTAGAGTAAGGCCAGGCAAAAGGTAGAAAAGTAGTACCTAAATTACGAAGACAGAGTGCCAAACAAGTAGCAGTTGCTGCATTTTGAAGTTGGTGACCACCAGGCATTTGCAGCTTCACATCAAGTAACTTACAGGACTACATGAATAGCTATAATCATAAGTTGCTCATAAAACTTTTCCATGATCAACAATGAAAACGTAGTAGACAGAAAACCTGTTAAAGTAGCATACCAAGGTGGTAGAGAAATGGGGTGCACAAATTCTTTAAACATTCAGAAGTTGTAATACAACATAAGACATATGATACCATGACACACAAAGCAACATTGCAAACAAATAGGGGCAAAACAATTAGGACCTCACACAGAGCAGAAATATGAGAATGTACAATACTACAATTAAGAGTTCAAAATCAAGAGTTTTTTTACTAGGCTATACTTTTAGACTCCCTACTTTTGTAATACATAATCATATTCTGGTCACAATAAAAGCTGTTATGCTAAACCAATATCAACACGTTATCTTTAGCAACATTGTAATCAAATGGGAGCAAAAGAATCAGGTCCTCGCACAGAGAAAAATGATGAGAATGTACGATACTACAATCAGAGTTCAAAAGTGTGTTATTTACTAGGTTATACTACTATACTCCCTACTTTTGTAATACATAATCATATTCTTGTCAACTATTACTCACAATAAAACTAGTGCTAAACCATTATCAACGCACGTTATCTAAAGCAACATTGCAAACAAATGGGAGCAAAATAATTAGGGTCTCACACAGGAAAAAGATGAGAACGTACAATACTACACTTAGATATGACTCACAATTCAAAACTTAGCTTTATAATTGTGACATTAAATCTTACGATTCAATACAATTCACGATTTAAAAATTAGCTTGGCGATTCATGATTTGAATTGCGATTTGATAACCTTATTATTCACAACAAAATTTGTTATGCTAAATCATTACCAACACATATGGTGCTTGATTGTGTCAGGTTTAAAGAATGTTAACTGCAAAATTGCAAACCATGTCTATAAGATGCATCCTAAGCAATCAGAGCCCACAGGTAATCAAAAGCAGCCAGCTCCAACATATGTCCCCAGACACTGCATTATCTAAACAAACACTGAAAGCTAAAGAATACAAGTTCATACCAGTTTCAAATCTTCCACAACTTGTATCACAATATCACAAATTTGACAAGGCCTGCCATTGCGTATGCTGAAACTTTTTACAGTACATTTATTCCCTGTATCACATGCTGACACTACAGGTGAATCCATGGTTACTGCTTTATCTCGAATGATGTGCTCAATATGAGGGAGAAATGGCCCACCCAACACCAACTGAAATGAATTTTTTTAGTCAGCAAAAATTAAAGGAAAAAATGGAGTCACTATTGGAGTAATAACATTTTAAAGAACAGAGTTATGTACCAAAAGTCCCAAACCCAACCAAAAATAAATAATTCATTTTTACTTTTTTTTCCCTAATTTGATGATGAAACTTCACAATATGTTTATACATTAACAAGGATAAATCAATATAAGAAATGACCACCTTCATCCCGAAAAGAACAAAGTTTTATAGATGTCATAGCACGACATGCATGTTTTCACACTTAGCTAACATTTTAGAATATCTTTGTCTAAGAAAAGGTTACTTGACTCTAGATTAACAGCAAACAAAAAGAATATCTCACATCAACCATAATTTGGCTGGCCTGTTTTAAATTAGAAAATGCTAGAATAACACAAGCAAAACATATGATAGTTCTTGAAAATAGAGGTCACATCCTCTCTTGCTAGTTTGAATACAATATGATTTTTCTGATTAAACATTGAGTAATGGCTTTAAGACTAGATAATACCGGTGCAGCTAATACTGTATCTTGTCATGTATATAAGAATTGGATCAACGTTTGTCAATTTACTCAAAAAATTTGTAGTTATAAAATGTACTAATGTCCGTGAGAAATGGACTATACCTTGTCCATTTCAGTAAAGCACATTAATATGCAAATGAGATCAACAGAGAGAAACACCTAACTGGGCGGCCTTGTTTTATGATTCCTGCCTTTGCCATTGCAATAGTTTCCAAAGAACCCCCAAGAGCTGCCAAATGTTCTTCACCTACAGTGGTTATGACTGATGCAGCAAGTCCAGAGCTGGAGATAATATTTGTTGCATCTCGTGCGCCCCCTAACCCAGCCTATAGAATTTAATAAAAATAAAGATAATATAGTTTAGGCCATCTTGCAATTTTTGGATTTAAATGTGAATAAGAAAAGGCCAAATATTAACAACAACAACCACCAAGCCCCGACCACTAGGCGAGGCTGGTAAAAGTTAATATCAACTTAAGGTTCTTTTGGGGGAGGTAAAGAATCATCATATATCAAATTTGGATAAAGCAGTTGTTGGATGGAGTGAAATAGATGATTAACCTCAATAACAGCAATGTCAATGTTCTCATCAGCAAATAGGATGAATGCCATCGTAGTGAAAACCTGGAATGTTTCCACAAGTGATTGAAGTTACCAAATACAAAAGTTTGTGAATTGCACAATTTCTGATACATGAAATAGCCATATAACAAGAAAGTAAACAAATAAAAAATATCCACCCGGATTTTAATAGAATATTAGAATGCTATGAAAGTGTAAGCAGAAATATCTAAATAATGAAACATTAACTTCATTAATTTTTATTGTAATAATGCTGACCAATAACAAGAAAGAAATGGAACAGTACCCAAAAGAACAATCAGGGGAGCTAAGGCAATCAGTTAAACTGAATACGCAAAGTCCCAAACTCTCAATTGATTATGTTAGAATATACGAAAATATCTCATAATATCTTGATAGAGGGCGAGCCTTGGAGAGCGATAAGGTTACACCTTATGATTGGAAGGTCACGGATTCAAGTCTCGGAAATAATTTCTTTGCAAAAATGCAAGGGTAAGATTGCATACAATCGACCTTCACCCCTACTTTCGCAAGTCAAGGAGTCTTGTGCACTGGGATTTGTCCTTTTTAATGTCTTGATTGTATCTTAGAGTAATTTAGAGTATCTTAGATTATCTCTTAGGATTGGTTTCCATATATTTATAAGTATTTCATTATTTGTTTCTTTGTTTAATTAGGATCAAGAGTCTTCTATACTATTAGTATAAACTTTCTAATCAGAGCTTAATCTTTTAATTTTTGTATTGCATCATAACACATCATTACACACCATATACAAATATTATATTCAACTATTCATAGTTTGTTCTCTCTCTTTTTTCATTTTCTACCTAAATCTCTATAATTTCAATTGATCCATGGACTCTAACCAAAACAACTCCTTATGATAGCACAACAATTTCTTGACAAAATTCAGACGTTGATGAGATTCAATATTCAATACCTCAAAATGGCTTATGCAACCATTTTCCTCTTTCATTGCTTGGTCAAGATCCTGCTTGATCCTATGAAAAAGATTGTTCAACAATTTCGCCGAGACAGGATCCCCAAATCTTCCTAGTAAAATGCGTTCCCTGATAGTCCGGATATGTGGACTGCTTGAGAAAAATAAAGCCTGTCATCAATGATGTACAAATTGTAAAGAAGCTATTGTAGCAAACGAAATAGCAAGTAGCAACAGTTACACAAAAGCAAAACCTAGTTCAATGATGAAGAAACTTTACCTAGTATAACAACCAACAGAATAACCTTCTGCCCTCAGAATATTAGATATAAAAGCTGCTGTTGATCCCTTTCCCTTTGTCCCAGCAATATGAACAGCCTACAATTGGAGTAAGCCAGAATTTAAACAACTATTATTGCTTACTTCAACTGCATAAGAGTGAGTGAAAGTACTACAAAAATACAAAATGCCCTTGTGACCCAGAACATGCTCATTTTAACTTCAAGGGTTAAAATCGTATGAAAAAATTGTTAGAGAGAGAAATCACAAACCTTGAATTTGGAGTGAGGATTACCAAAACGCTCCATCAGGCGTTTCATTCTACCAAGATCGAACCCCTCTTGAGAATCGGTGCCTGCCCCTCTGGGCACTCCTGATTTCTCATAATTTTTGAGGGAATCAATGTAGTTCAGTAAGTCTTTCATTTCTGGGTCCTCATGGTGCGAACAGAGGGTTCGTGTGGAACCCATTTGCCTTGTGATTCCTCTATGTATCGAGGAAATTAATGTTCTGCTATGGAGAAGCACGAGGTTTCCACTGGGAAGCGCCAGCATAGTTCACCTAGCTGTTAAAATTCTTAATTTCAGTCACAAAATAAAATAAGAGATTCCTTGCTCTGTTATTTGGACTGCTTGGTATTTACCCAAGGTACTGATGCAGATTTTCTTTTTAAGATTGATTTTTGTCTTTCTTAATTACAGATTTTGTATTAAGTTCAAAAATAAAATGTCAAAAATTAATTCATTTGGATTTAAAAAAATAAATTGAACTATGACAACTTATATGATATAAAATTTTCATATGATTCTATACTAAATATGAAAGAGTTTTTTCTTTATTAATCTCGTACTAAAAAATTCAAAATAAGAAAATAAGAAAAACAATAGAATAAATAATAAAAGATAATTATAAAGATTATTAAAAGTTTATCACGACCCAAATTCAAGTCATGACTTGCCCACATATTATTATTAAATGAAAACAGATCCACTTACCACTAGAAAAGTTTACCATTATTACAATCAATTTTATTATTGTTGATTTTCGCCAATTTAACAGCGATTAAATTGATTGTAAAAATGATAAATGTTTTTGGTGATAAGTGAATTCGTCCCTTAAATGGGAACGATTTCACTTACCATCGGAAATAGCTTGACAAGTCTAACTATCACAGTGATATATTTAGCAATAATAAACCAAATCAAAATATATATAAGGTTTATCAAGTTATAACGCTTGTTTGTAGAAATAATGGAACAACTCTAGAATATAATAAACGTTCAAATTACATAATAATAATTGGATTTAATGTTTCCTCTATTGAATGAGATAAATTTATCTCCTATATCTACATAAAAGTGTGTGAGATTTATATTTTCTTTTTCTCTCTTCTCCTCGCAGTGGTCCTACGTAGAATTTATCCCTTACAATAAGAGAAATATTAAATACATAATAATTTATTATTTAAGTTTTTGTCCACACAAACAAAATGTCACACTCACCACTAGAAAATAATAAGATTTTCTCAATCGAATCGAGTGAGTGAACTCAAAAGTTATCTCATTGTTTTATCTATAAATAGATAACCACAATTTGGGTGAGTTGCAATGCGACCTAGTGAGCAAATAAAAAAAACTATAACAAGTAGAACTTGGCAACATATAAAAATATATTTAATCAAAAGTGTAAAGATAAAAAGTAAACTTCCATATCCGAATCAGTTTATATAAACAAATCAAAAACTAATACTTTATTAAAATTACATATATTTAAATAGGGGTATACTTAGACAGAACTGTAATATATTAATCCCAGGCTTCCCACTTGTAATTATAATGTGATCACAATATTAGGTTCCTCACTTTAAAATATAATCATAATAATGGAAGGCTCCCCGCTTTAATAATTCAACAATAGGCTCGTCTTTACACAAGTCATAGTGCATCAAGGTTGAAGGCATTTGGTACTAGAGAAATTCTTTTGGATCCTGAAATCACGATTACTTGAAATATGATTAGAATAAAAAGTGTCTGGTATTTTACGAAAAAAGTGTTTAGTAGGACAAAATATTACTGAGAATATTAGTTAACTTTTCTGAAGGGATGTTTGGTTGAAAAATAAAATATTACTGGGAATATGATGAAATTTGACAAAAGTACCTTTGTTAAGAATAACTTTTATTGAAGACGATTGGGCACAGTAAATTTCAACCATTTGAGAACCTTGGAGTTTAGAAGATTAAAGAATATGGCAGAACAGAAACAGAACCTGCGAACAATGCTCTATTCCATGTCAACATGAACCAAAAATAAAAAATAAAAAATCCATCAAAGCCATCATCAAGAAATTACAAGAAAGAAAACAAGTAGAACAATTTAAAAAACCAAGAAAACAATGAATTTAAAAACAAAGGGTCATAATATGGTATATACCTGGGTGGTGGTACCCAGAGAGACCAATGCAATATGTTGCTGTGTTCTCTCTAGTGAAGAGAAGCAGAACAAGTATTACAAAAATGTTCTCTTGAGGGTAATTTAGTCTAAGAAATGGCACGTGAAGAAACCAAGACCTGGGAACTAACAATTACCATGTTTTAAATGATAATTGGAATCCACAATCGGTAGTGTAAAATGGTTGCCAGGGAATAAATTATACCCAGTCAAGTTTTATGTTTTTCTTCTACCAAATGTGGAAATAAATCATTCTCACTTCCACTTTTCAGGACATCCAAGAAATTACTCCATACCAAACAGCCCCTTAGTGTTGTTAGCCGACAGTGTTCTGTTGAAGACATTCCCCCAAAATATAATATATGCATTTCATAAAGCAAAATCAACCATAGACATAACTATTGTAAATCAATTCATTAATATTGCAATGTTTCTTAAATATTCAAATACAAAATTACAAACAAATTTTAATGTTTATCATGTTGTAGGAGATAAATTTATCTTCTATACACACATAAAAATGTGTGGGACCTAGGGGTGATAAACGAGTCAGGGGCCTTTGGCTCGGTTCGTGAAGGCCTGAGCTTACATACTTGATATTGGTTGTTGGAACCAGGTTTGGACTTGTATAAAAGCTAATTTAGTAAAAAGACCTCGTGCTTCAATTCCAAAGCTCGGCCTTGGAGCCTCTCAGGCTGGCCTAGTATACTAATTTTTATTTTTATTTATATTTTTTATACTATTTGTAATAGCCCTCTCTCCCCTCTCAATCTATTTCACCCCTATTTTATTAGTTAAACAGACTTTTTGAATGATTTTGTTATATATTATGCTCTTTGGATATAAATTGAATTTATAAATATTTATGGAATTACTAGTGTTGTTGATTGTATATTCTGTTTGGATAAATTTTTGTCTTATTTTTTTTAACAGACTAACAGGCTAAATCAGGCTTTTATTTTTTGTAAATAAGACAGGCCACAGGCCGATAATTATATTCGTAACAGGTAACATGCTTGATAAGACCGACACATTTAAACACATGCTTAGCCTTTTAAGACCAAAGCTCGGCTCGGTTCGACCCGTTAACACCCCTGGTGGGACCCATATGAGGAGAAGAAAAAGAATGATAAAATATGGATCCCACATACTTTTATATATATGTAGGAAATAAAATTATATCCTCCAACATTTTATTCCAAAACCTATTAGCATTACAAAATTTTGGAGTAAAACTCCGGAAGGTCGTAACTCTTGACTCGGGTGTCCGAATCATGTGCTTTTTTTTATTCCATAAAACTTTTCGAGAGTTACGCGTTGAGAAATTTCTGTAGAATCTTTTCTACACATGTACTCGAGTATATAGCGTGGAACAACAAATACTCAACTAGTTGGGTCATATATTCAATTATAAATTCATAACACTTGATTTACTCGAGTATAAGATTCTGTACTCGAATATGTTGTGCGGTCAACGATCAAATAGGGACAAATAGATGAAATATATATTATTATTTTTGGTACAAAAGAGGGGCTAGGCCCCAAACTCAAGAAAAAAAACAAAAGAAACAATAAAGGAAAAACATAGAAAGCTTAAGGAAATAGAACATAAAAATAAGGAGAAAAGGTTCTTAAGATCTGGCTAAGGAGATGAAAAAAGAAGATAGGCCATAGTTGTTGTTGAATGCCTCTTTGGCTTGCCAATCCGCACATTATTACAAGCTCTAGGCACATGAGATATAGAAACATTCCAAATCTCTATCAAGTAAAACTCGAATCTTAGTTACTAATGGAAACTTTTGAGTATCATTACTAGGTAAGAGAATTAATCACTAAGGCTGCGCATGACAACCATTCTGATTCCTGGCATTTTTTCTGAAAAGAAATGATTCTTTTCTATTTGTGTGTCTTGGAACAATTCTGAGAATCAGAATTACGTTTGTTAACATATTTTATTTTTATTCCGAAAATCAGAATTACGTTTGATAACACATTTTATTTTTATTCTGAGAATCAGAATTATGTTTGATAACACAATAAAAATCTATTTCTTTACTTTTGTTTATAGATTTCATCAACTGTATAAAATAGCAAATGATAATAGATTGTAACTGAAATGCCAAATTTTATATTTAAAAAAATTATCTAAAAATTTATAATATTTTATTATATAGTTTTTTTTTTACGACAAATGCTAATATATAGTTTTAACTATTATTTTTCAATCATCTTCACAACTCATATTTTTTTTGTTTCTCATTCCCTTGACCATTATATTTTTTAATATCATATTATTACCTTAATATTAATGATACCTTAAAAGTTACCTTAATGTGGACGTCCCATAAAGATGCATCCTCGGTTGTAGCAGTTTTCAAAACAGTGTTCCAACCAAAACCAGATATGCTTAGTAATTTCTTGAAACTTGAATATTTTTGTCTAAGTTTATTCATCTTGTTTTTCAGTTGATTTAGTGTGTAATCAAGCGTTGTTTGTTTTGTAAATTCATCTTTAATGCTTTTCCATGTTTTTTTTTTTTTTTTTTTGATAACATTTTCCATGCTTTCTTACTTAAGGTAGAGGTTGTTCTATTCCCTTTTTTTACTTCCTCTACCAGCAAATTAACAAAAAGATGTGTGTTTTTATTAGTCCATTTTGCTACGAACCCTTCGGATGCCATACTCCTTGCTGATAACATGTCAGAAAATAAATCATAACACCAAAAATTAGAAATGCACATATCCATCCTGGTGAATAATGTAACCAGTCAGAAAGGCAAAGATTGTTGTCACTATTCTGCTGTTGGCAAGTTATGTTAAGAACCTGAACATTTGTACACAAACAATCCACTAGAGTTTTCAAAGGGCTAAAGAAATACAAAGTTCAACATTTTTATGATTTGTATGCCTAATATCACAGATACTTGAATTATGGTTGCATCTGTAATTCCTCTATCAAAATAATATGATTGAGGTCCCACTATGTGACAGTAAGATAAACCGAAGGCTTCAAAAGTGGCATGGAAAAGAAGCATAACCATAACAAGTTTGATTGTTGGTGGAAAACAGAGCAAGCATAAGTGATTGAAAAGTACTCATCAATGTTATGACCAAAGAAAATGGATATTCATTACCACAAAAAAAAAGTATTTATAATATCATGCTTTCTCACTAATCTTGCATACGATTACATGGTTGTAGGCCCACGCTGCAAAAAAAAGGAAGTCAACAACTCAAACCAAACAATAAGAGTTTTGTCATGCATTTCTTTCATGGAGATCCTTTGACAACATTGTGATGTTGCCCCATGGTGTCAAACTAAAAATAAAATACTCACGAAAGAAAAATGTGCATCTTGGTATGTGTCTGAAATTAAGGGGTTAGTGCATACTTATCCTGATTAATTTTATCTTAAAGAACTATTGGAACCTAAAACTGATACAGGTACGTGATGCCATAGACCCATAGACTGATACGCATATACAAAAATAAATGCAATTAGGAAAAAAAAAAAAAATCCTCTTTCAACGCTAACACTTGAAAATTTCCAGAACAGAGTCCATACACCAAACATGCTTAAGCCCTTTATCCACTGCAATGAAAACAGCCACGGAGGAGGTTATGCGTGTGGCTCACATCAAATTGCATATTTCGAATACTTAATAACTTATTCTTCTTATTGTTATACTTTCTACCCAATTGAATTGATACTAACAGAGTTAGATGCATTGCAACTTAATTTTTTATTATCTATTGCAATCTTCTTTTTTTATTATAAAAATTCTTAGTGGATAGAGTTCAGAAATCTACAGCAATGAATACAAACGGTTGCTGTAATCGAAAATTCTTAGTGTATGTGCGCTTTATCCAATACAACCTCAAAGCGAACATTTGGAATTAAAAAACAAAAAAAACGAGATAAACCCTAAAAATTGGTCAGAATACCCGAATAGAGGTGAGTAATTCAACAAATATAATCAGCAAGAACAGCTAGACCATCAAATAAATGGGAGAATAAAAAGGAATCAGAATCAACATTCACAGGAGACCATGAAAGTAGAATAACGTACCGAATCGCACGATAATATGATGGCCCAGACTACCAGCTAAAGCGACCTCACTCTGAATATTCGAATCGTATATGGTTGAAAGCAGTGATGGGGTGTGAGCGGGTACCGAGTGGTGAGAGTCTCAGACAAAACTGATTCTCTTTTTGTGCTTGAAACAGAAGCAGAAAATTTTTGATTTTTTTTTGTTTTCTCGCATAAAAAAATTGATTTATTCCGAAAACAAAAAAATAAATCGATTTTATCAAATGCAATTCTCATCTATTTTTGTTACCGAAAAGAAAAATTAAAAAAAGAAAAATTATTCTGGAAAGATTGTATACCTTAAAAAGGAATCATTTTCTAGTACAATCTTCCTCCAACCTTTGTTCCTGGCAAAAGGTAAACCATGAAATATTTTGATATTAGGGTAAAGTGATATTTCTTTATGTAATTATGGGCACAATAGTCAAATAACAGAGAATTTAAAACAAAGTTTAGAGTTGGCATAATTCACGTTATTTGCTCACCTAAGTATTGATGAGAGAAGATAAAAGTCAAGATTATCAATTAAGAGGATGGTTTTATTGTCAAACTATTTTTTTTAATATATTTACAAATTACATCATGTCTTATAAATAAGATTTCATTCAAGAGTATTTTACCAGTAAAATATAATGTAATTTGTAAGAGTTTATAAATAAAAATTATAAATATAATTTCCTAGCAATTAATATAAAAATTTTGAACTTGCTAACAATTTCTTGCCAATAATAATAGTTTAAGTCCTAACTCTTCTTATGCATATATGATCTATATGAAGTATGTGCTCGTCAACGTTTTTTTTCTTAGATCGGAGTGAACAATCTAACCTATTCTTCAATTTTCTTAGGGTATGTTTATGCACAGTATAGGATAAGGCAAACACTTTTCTTGAATATGCGAATCTGTTGGGAGTGACACGTGGCGAAAATACACCGACATAGGAAATACTTTCCCACACACTCGTAATTTTTATTTTTTGTTTTTGAAAACCCAGATTTTCTTTTCTTTTTTATTTGTCTTTTATAAAATGAACGTTGCTAGTAGAGTAGCTATAACCTAAAATTAGAATTTACCTTTACTCAATTCACACGCCAATGCTTCTGTTATGGAATGCTTTTACTCTACAGAATCTCCAAACACCCACGCATTACAGAGACAGCGCCTTTCAAATTTGCGATCTTTTCTGCTCTTTCTCTCCATTCTAACGTAAGTTCACGGCAGTTTTTGTTTTGTTGCATTTTGTTTATGTGATTCTCTTTTCCGTTTCTCCTGTCTGGTAAGCGAGAAAATTGAACCCATGTGGCAAAGTTGATAAATCATTATAACTATTATTTTTGGTTAATGTAGCTTAAATTCGTGTAATTTACAAGCATAGGTGAAGAAAACAGTGACATTAGTTTGAAAAGAGTAGAGTTGGAACTCAGAACGTTATTTTCTTTGTTTGTCTCTATGTTTTACTGATGTGCACCATTTTCTAATTACAACTTCAGAAGAAGAAAAAGAATAAGGGAGAAAGTAAATTGAACCCCAAAATTAGGGGAAAAGAGAGAAAGGGGTTTAAGTAGAAAGGAGGAAGTTTAGGACTGAGAAAATGAATTTGGCTAAATTAAGTGTAAATAAACAGTGTGATTTGCTGTTAATTGCACGTGTTCTTTGTAGATTGTTAAATTTTGCATCTTTTTGTTCCTTCCACCCCTTTAACACTTCTTCTTTATCCAGCAGAAATTTTCATTAGCTTTCTTTCTCTATTTTTTTTTTTCACAATTTTTCAATTTTTTAAATTGCTGTTCTTTCTAATTTTTGTTAAATTTTAAATGCAGAGTTTATGCGACAGGAATTTAATGTGAGGTTCTCTGAGGTGAAAATAAATTGTGTGGCATTAAACTCTTGGGTTTGATGGAGATAAATATAGCAAAAGAAGTGAAAGAAGAGAAAGAAATGTTAAACCTTAATGCTGTTAGCAATTATGTGTCAGAAAATTGTCGGTGTAATGAATTGGAAGAGAGAAGCAAGAAAGCTGAAGTGTGGTGTGCAGAGTTAGAATTTGAGCTTCAAAAGAAAAAGGATCACTGTGAAGCACTTGAGGCTAAAGTTAAGGCACTGGAGAGAGAAAAGTTTGCAATTGAAGATGAGCTGAAAGTTTTGAGGATGTCGAGTGAAGGACTTAAAAGGCATGAAGAAGTTAGTAGTGGAAAAGAGAGAGCGATAAAAACAATTGTTGATTTGACAGAGAATAATGAGGCTGTTCAGCTAATGATTGAGAACAAAGTTTTGGAATGTGAGAAGAAAAGGGCTGAGAGTGAGACAGAGATCTGGAAAGACAAGTACAAGAAATTGGAATCATGGGCCTTACAATTGGGGATGGGAAGGGGTAGTCATTATCATGAAGAAAATGGAAATAAGCAAGAAAATAAGCGGATAAGAACTGAAGGAAATTTGCATCTTCATACAAGCTTTGACTTCCAGCAGAATCAAGAGAAAGTAGGAGATTTAGGGAATGTAGTTTCTTCTCGTATTTCTCCCTTTAAAGAAGCTGGATATATGCAATCAGCAGGTAATACCTTGGCTATATGATGGAGCTAGAGCTTTTATTTATTTAATTAATTTTTTTTTTGTAAATTGCTTTGAATTTCTGTAATCAAATGTTTTACATAAATACAATCCTTATTTAAAGAGGTGGGTGGGATTTACCAATATTTTATGATCTACTTATTTATTTTCTGCATTCTAGAACATACAATTAAATCAATTCTCCTTGTGTCAGGATTAGCTTATTATGTTTTGTTAAATTTTAATTATCAGAGTGTTAAATTATGTGTCTCCACCTGGTAATTTGATATATGTAAAAATAAAAGTATATTTATCTTGATGTTATCCAAGCCAACTCTTCTGTTAGCTATTTCTTCAATGTGACTGTCTTGTCGAAACTCAACAGTGTGTGATCCACCTTATTCCTAAAGTGAAAATGATATGAATAAGGAGACAACACCTAGTGATCCATTGCAATTGCCAAATGGGCCAATCACAAGATCAAGGGCCAAGAAGTTTAAAGAAGCTCTTAGTGGGTTGATCATGCAAATATGGGCTAATCATGAAGAAATCAAGTCCAAATTTATTCATAATCTGAATTTAGTTAATGTCATCAATGCAAGGGAGGTTGAGTGGAATGAGTAGCAATTTTCAATGTCATTAATGCTTAGTGGGGCTGATAGTATTTTCAATGTTATTAATGCTTAGTGGGTTTGATTCACATTTCCAATGTCATTAATGTTTAGTGGGCTGATTAGAGTCTTTTCCTTTTTCCAAGTTGTCAATTTTAAATTAGTGTCTTTTTATTTGTTAGTCTTTTCTTATTCTTGGAGGGATGTTCCAAGTATAAATACGGATGATACAACTCTTGTGATCAGACTTTGAAGTTATAATATAGTAGAGAGGTTTCTTCTCTTTGGTTCTTATCTAGAACTCTGAACTTATCAAGAAACTTGTTCTTGTGGCGTTCAAACCAGACTTATCACTCACCTTCTTCTTTCTCGAGTGTGGCGTCTTTATCCTTCTTATACCTTTGGTTCTTATCTTCCATAGATAACGGGTCAAGGTTCTTTATTTTTTGTTTAAAATTTCTGATTGTAAAAACGATCTTAACTAAATTGGTCTTGGGTCTCACTATTCTTGGTGAGGTTCATATCAGAAAATGCTTCTTTGTCTTCCTTTGTAGTTCTTGTTATAATGGTATATTTTTTGTGCTTTTTGCATCATGGTAACATTTGTCAGGAATAAGAAAAATAGGTTCATGTTTGGCCAACTTATCACTTGGTTGAAAATTTTATGTGGTCTCTAACATTGTCTCTTCATATATCCATATCTGTGGGGCTGTAGCAGGCACACCTTCTAATGGCATATTTCAAAGAAGTCCCATCTTACATTCTACAGTGCAACCTGGCAGGAAAGTTATAAAACAGTTGAAATTCGAAACTGAAGAGAGTCCCAGCAAAAAGATGGCTCCATCTACACCCTTTGGTGCAAAATCTGCTTCAGTCCATGTAATTGATATCATTGATAGTGACGATGAACCTAATATTACTCAGAACCCAGTACCAGATAGTCTGGGTGGTGGAAGCATTTCTGTTTCAACATGTTTTGCAGCAGAACAAGGAAAAAAGTCAAAGAACTCTGACAGCAGTTGTGCCCAAAAGAAGGAAATTTTGGATTTTAGCGAAGATATCTTATTTGTTGCAACTCCTAAAAGGAAACGAACTTGTAATGTTGTTACAAGTGAGTCTGAAAGTGATGATGATGATAATATGCCAATTTGTAAACTTAAAAGGATGCATATTCAGGGAGTAAGTGCTGACCAAGTCAGACCTGACTTGAATAGTTCACTGACTGCTAATATTTCAGAGGATGACAAGGTCACTCACACTGTAAAAACTAGGCGCCGTCTACTGCCTCTGAGAAAATGTGTAAGCAAAAGTCAGGATGATAAAACATCTTCATGTAGGCCTCATAAGGCCAAGCATCAACAAAGTATTCCAACAAATGATGATGCTGATAATGATGAATCAGAAAAGGATTTATCATACAGTGAGGGAGAAAACATGAGTGATTTTATTGTTGATGATTCTGATGTATCTAATTGTGAAGACACGTCTAGCAAGTCACAAGATGTAGCTAATGGTGATGCGAACTCTGACTCTAGTAACTCACAGGATGTACAAGATAGTGACATGGATTCAGATTCACAGGATGTATCAGATGGGGACATGGACTTTGGTAAGATATTATCGAAAATTAAGAGGAGCAAAACCAACAAAATGAAGTGGGAATTTGAGGCTGACATGCTTGCAGCTTTTGGAAAGGATCTGGAATTGTGTATGAAGGCTGTGTGTGCTCTTTATCAACAGCAAACTTCTGAGGAACAGACCAGCAGGGGAACATTGTACAACAACCAGCGTGGATTCAGCAAGTTTGATGCTAAGAGGTAGGAACAAAAGAGAATAATGTATACAACAGGGTTCTTGCACTGTGTTAATTACCCGAGTTTACTTCAACAGTGACCTTGACGTAAGGAGTTCAGTTTGAATTCGTTACTTATTGTTGTCTCTCTTTTAGTCTTTTTATTTAGCTGTATCGCTTTATGCTCTCTGCGTACGAAAGGAAGCTTTAAAAATTCTTACTTTTCTTTATAAATGGGTTGCACCCCTTTTGGTTTATTAAGTAAATGTTCTTTAGAAAATGTGTTATGGCTTCTCAATATGTGGTTAACAGTTTTTTTATTTGCAAAATTTGCTTCTGAACTGAGTGGAGCTTCTGGCGATTATGTGTTTTGAACTTGGATAGGATGAATTATTTGCATTCTGATATTTATTTTTTCCTTGCCATCTTTGATGCAAAGCCTGAAAGCGTGTAGCCATCACATGCCATCGATTTAACACTATTTTAGATAGATTTTCCGCGCTGGTTAAGCAAGTTGATTATGAATTGTGACGCCTGTTCAATATACCATTTTTTTGCTCTGGATACTACACAATTTTATGAATTCTAGGCACGTCCATGCTATTCCTTTGATTGCATCTTTGTGTCTTCTGTCAGTTTCATATGTTTTCTAACTGAAATTTCAATTTTACAGAGGCAGTACTTTGGCCGAGTTCCTCACTGATGGAGATCCTCGTGGTGGTTTAAAGAAGTCTGTCAAGGAGTTGCAAGCATATGACCCCAAAGCAGTTGAACTGTGCAGATCACTAGCCATTCACTACTCAAAGCAACTATTTGAGATTTACAAGAACAAAGAGGATCCTTCTTTTCCTTGACCAGAGCAGCAACAGGATCCTTCTCAAAAGTGTGAAGAAATGGAAGTATGTGTATCAATTTGAACAAAACGTTAGCAGCTCTTTTCTTCTTTTCTTTTTGTTAGTTTCAGAATATGTATATGTACTACTGTGCTTACATGTGCTATCATTATGATGCCTAATTTCTTACAAGAAGAAATTGTTGTCACGGCTTGTATTTAGGATAGGCGTGTACTATATATATGATAATTGATAACACATTATTAATTAGAAGTTAAAAAACTCATATTGTGTGTCAAAATTAAATTCATTTACTTATTCTACATTTCTACCATTTTAAACAATTTATAAACATGTAAATCGGTCGGAGATACTGTCACTTCTATTAAGGATTAATTCGGAAAATTAAAATAACAAAAATTTTGGTACCAGATTGATTATTCACCAACACCTCAAAAATATAATGACTCTTGTGGGATTTGTAATTTCCTGATTCTTTTTCACCAATAAGCCTGGCAATGGAGTATATGTACTTGTCATACCCAATCAATTGGGATAAATACTATGATGGGTTTGATTACTCTAATACAATTTGTATGTGCCCTTCCCATAAAGTATGTCTCATTCATCATGAAATCAAACGTGGAGAATGGGTATATTAAGAATTATCTGCGCTTCATTTAAAGTAAACAAATCTTGAATCACCTCTTCATATTTTTAGGTTTAGTTGAGAGATTGTTTCATTTTGTGAATTTATGACCATAAAAATGCTAAAGCTTATTGGAGAAAAATATGCTAATAATTTCAGCAAAATACATAACCTTAACTTTTAATTCGTATTCCCTTTCAAAGCGTTAGCAGCTCTTTTTTTTTTTGTTTTCTTAGTTTCAGAATATATACACACACACTACGGTACTTATATGTGCTATCATTAGGCAAATTGACCGTATTATAAACATTGGTGAAAAGATTCTCGTGTTCAAAGTTGATTTGGAATGTTTTTCTATAGTACAGCAGTCAAATCCGTCAACCGTATTGACAGGTATGGTCTCGTCAACCTAGTTGATAGAACTCCTCTACACACGGCGTGACTACGTTGAGTCCCGTCAGGTTTGTTGACAAGATCAGTCCAGTCAAATTTTTTGACATGTTTAATCCTGTCAACTGTTGTGACATGTCTCGGCTCTATAACTGAAACTCACCCCTCCCTCCATGTGCGCACCAATTTTATCACTTCTCTTTCTAAACTTCTCCCAATCTCTCACTTTCATTTTTCTCCTTCTTCTCTCTAAATCCCTTTCTCCTTTTTTCTCCCAAGTTGTGCTAAGAGGAACGCCCTAGCAGAGGAGATGATGCAACCTAGGAGAAAAAAGAAGGAAGGAATTTAGAGAGAAGGAGGCAAGAGAAGATGAGGCAGCTTGGGAGCAAAGAAGGAGAAAGGGATTTAGAGAGAAGGAGGAGAAAAACAAAAATGAGAGATATTGGGAGAAGTTTAGAGAGAGAAGTGATACAATTGATGCGCATAAGAGGGAGGGAGGGGGGAGTTTCGATTATGGAGCAGAGACATGTCACAAAAGTTGACGTGTCAAAAAATCTTACTGGTATGGTCTTGTCATCAAACTTGACGGAACTCAACGCAATCACGCCACTGATATAGATGAGAGTCTTGTCAACTATGTTGACGGGACTATATCTGACAATATAATTAACGGATTTGACTGATCTACTCTAAAAAATATTCCAAATCAGGTTTGAACAGGAAAATCTTTTCACCAATATTTATAGTACGGTTAGGGGTGTTAACGGGCCGAGCCGAGCCGAGCTTTGATCTTAACGGGCCGAGCCGAGCCGAGCTTTGATCTTAAACGTGTCAGACTGGCCTTAGCCTGTTAGCTGTTACGAATATAATATTAACTTGTGGCCTGGTTCGTTTACAAAAAATAAAAGCATGTCTCAAGCCTGTGGCTTGTTTATTTATTAAAAATAAAAATCTTACCTTCCAATTTGTAGCAGTATTTAGCCCATTAATCATGCACTGATATGTATTTTTTTGTAAGAAAATAATAGTTGTTTCTTTTATAATAAAAAAATATTAATATTAAAAAAATCAAAATAACAACGGCACCTTTATTTTATTTTACGTTGTTTTTCCTTAATTTTCTTCCACATTCTAGATTTTTTACATTAAATTTTCTTCCACATTTCTTAATATTCTAAATTTTTTACACTAGATTTGAACCCCACTAATAAATTTTCTTCCACGGTCGCCGCCATAAACATCATTATAAGTCGTGGAATCCGCATGACTTATAAAAATAAATGATGAACATGACTTCATTTCCCTGTTGGTGGGACGATGACTTAGATCGGGGAGAAGAGATAGAGCAGAGACAACAAAATGAGAAAAGGATGTTGAAATAATTAATATAAAAATATAAAAAATAAATAAATTTAATGTATACGGGCCAGCCTCCAAGGCTTCAAGACCGGGCTTGGCTATGGAAACCTGAGGCCTTTTAAATAAAAAGGCTTATGAGTATAAGTCTAGACTTAATAATAAAAAAAGACGAGACGAGCCGAGCCGAGGCGAAACTGGCCAGGGGTCCTGGCCTTATTATCACCCCTAAGTACGATCAATTTGCTGCTATCATTATGATGTCAATTTTCTTACGAGAAGAAATTGTTGTCACGGAGTGTATTTAGGATAGGCGTGTACTATATATATGAGAATTGATAACACATTATTAATTAAAAGTTAAAAAAATAAAATTGTGTATCAAAATTAAATACATTCACTTATTCTACCTATAGACAAATTTTAAAGATAGAAATTCATTTTTATTGTGGACATTCTCTTATTGAAAGGCGCGAAAATGGAGGAGAATTCATGGCAATAATTAGAAATATATACAATCTGTCTGTCCTAAATACAGCTCGAAATCGATGATATATTACAAGGATACAGACTACAAAGCATATTACCAACTAAGCAAAATTCTAGAGAATGGAAAAATATTTTTAGTAAAAAAGAAAAAAAAAAAAAAAAAGAAAGGAAAAGAAAGCTCATATTGATAAATGGATCCCGCTGAACGTGCGGGTGGGCCTCTCATTCTACATCTCAACATGGCTGGCTCTCCTCTGAAGATTTCCAATGCCCTTATAAAAAGGAACTCAATTGCCTCTTTCATATTCACCACCCGCAGTTTTGTTATTTGGATTTCTCTCTCCTTTCTTTCTCTTATGAGTTTGAACAATTAAGAGAGAGAAAGACAAGGAGAGAGAAACAGAAATGGCTGTTTGCAGTGCTTCATTCAGGGTGGTTGCTTTCCTTGGTCTCATTCTTGCAGCCCTTATGTCAGTGGCTTCTTCACAATCCACTGCTCCGGCTCCTGCTCCCACAAGCGATGGTAATTTTCTCTTTCACATTTTATTGTTTACATCACAATGACATTTTGCACTTCTAAATTTTTTTATTATTATTATTAATGGCGAGGTTATAGTTAGTACCTCTTCTTTCTTACTGCTTCTTATTACTAAATCTTAACCGTTGATTTTTGTCAATCTAACGGTTGTAATTTATTGGGTCATATTTATTAATTAATTATTAATTTTTAATAAATTATAACTGTTATATTGACAAAAATCAACGATTGAGATTTGATAGTAATAGGTAAAAATAAAAAGAGACCCTAAATATAACCTCTTCATATTATTAGTATTATTTTTTAAACAATTTTTTCATTTACAAATTATATATCAATTTATTAATTTTTATCAAAGTTTTATCAACACTTGCTCAAATAAATAAGTTATTTATTCGAGTAAATTGTATAAGTTGATATTGATGTTGATTAAAATTTGGTCAAATAAGAATAAATTGATATATAATTTAAAAAAAAATGACAAATTGACATATAATTTGTTAATGAAATAAAATGATAAATTATTTTTAAAAGGGTCAAAACTCAAAAGGATCGATCAACCCATGATGCCTGCTTCATAGACCACAATCCAGATTGTTTTATTTGTTTAAGAGTGCCTTGATTCTTTGTTTGGCTTAGCTAAAAATTTTGTTATTGTTTGACATAATGTGTTACTAATAAATTGTTCTTTGGAATTTGCAGGCACAACAATTGACCAAGCGATAGCATATGTCCTTATGCTGTTGGCCTTGGTGCTGACTTACATCATTCACTAAGGCACCAACAATGGACACTTTCTAAATTAATTTGAGGGTTACTGAGACTTTTCAAGGACAAGTCACAATTACTGAGAAGGAAGGAAGATATTTGAATTGGACTAGTGCATTTTGTATAACTTCTCTTTTTCCAAGGATATTCTTTTCTGATTTTTCAGTTGTCTATATAGTGTGCTTGTTATTCTAATTAGTTAGTTGTTGATAAGGAATCAAGGCAACATAAATAAATAAAAATGGAAAGAATGAAAAAGCCATTCGGTACTTCTTTATACATATATGATCATGAAGTTGCATTTTCGTAACCTCCAAGCGCCCTTGGTTTTTGGGGTCAGTACGCTCTTTCAAATTTCAATAAAAGCATATAATGATTCTATAAATTAGGTTTTTTTTTTTTTTTTTTTAAGAAGAAGCCCCAATAGTAATTTCACTTAATAAGCTTGACATTACGACGGGGATTGGTGATTCATGGAGATAAAAATGTCTGAATATGAAGTTTAAAACATGCTACAAGAATGTGCATCTTGAAATCATGTTATATATTGTCTCTATCTTCATCTCCTTCCTCCCCCTCCATTCACGGGCTTTAAGACCGTTATGGTTAAAAAATTTAAATTTATACCCATTATGGTAACATGGATAACATATTTATTGTTCCGGTGCAATAGAAATACGCAAAAGCCTAAGCGTGTCTCTTTTGTAACGTGACAGCACCTGATAGACACGCATATTTGAAATTCACATATACAATAGTGTACTTTAAAATTAAATTTGATTGACCATTAATTCACTCTATAATAATAGAGACATTTGACTATTTGAGAATCATATTTTCTCATTAAATTACATTTTTTTAATAGGTATGTTTATTACCATTGTCATCAAAATCCAATCGCATTAAATTACTTATGATTCATATAAAAGTATTTCTTGAATAGCATTACGGGAATTTTTAATCAAGTGAATTAATGATAATGAGATCTGATCTGGATAATATATAAGCCCATAAGGTTTGGAGCCCAAAAAAGGCC